GAGCATGTAAATTGCCCCTTCTATACCAGCCTCTTCAGAAGCTGGTAGAGGGTTTGTCTTATAGCTGAGAGATGGAAGGGGAGTCCAGGAAAGGGAGCCACACTCAGAAATCTCAAAAGCACAAAGGAGCTGGGCATAGTAGGGAAAACAACTCCAGCTGGCAGGAGGCACCCATGGGTATGGCGTAAGATGACACTGGTGCCCCAGGCAGAAGGACATAGGTGAGGAGCTTAGATTTTTTTTCTGACGGCAACAGGGAACCATAGGAGAATTTTGAACAGAAGAATGACAAGGTCAATTCTGAAGGTTAGAAAGAGCCTTTAGGGACCAAGTGAAAATCGGACTAGAGGGAGATCAGTGGTGTAGGCTGGGCACAGTCCAGACAAGAGCAGGACACAGAGAAAAAAATGGCTATGAAAGGGATCCAGGAGGGACAGGGGTCTGCACACAGGGACTAACTGGTTGTCAGCAGAGACAGAGGGAGGAATTGAGGAGGCATTAATGTGACTACCTGAGTGGCCCCTGTACGAACTTCACAGCACAGTGCGATCTACAGGGTGTATTAGCCATCTACTGCTGCATAACAAATTACCACAAACACAGGGGCTTAAAACAACACATATTCATTATCCCACAGTTTACATTGATCAAAAGTCCAAAATAGTGCAAAGGGTCTTACAAAGCAAAACCAAGATGTTGTCTGGCTAGGTCTTCATCTGGAGGTTCAGTTAGGGAGAGATCCATTTCCCAGCTCCCTCAGGTTGAGCAGAATTCATTTCCTGTTGTTGTATGACTGAAGTCCCTGTGTTTTGCTAGCATTTCCCACCCTCAGGTCTTTGCCATGTGACTCTCTGTACAATGGGGCAGTTTGTTCCCTCAGGACAGCAGGAGACTCTCTTGCTTTGAATTTCTTTGGCGTCTTGTCTCTTATTTATTTTTTTATTGAAGTATAGTTGACTTACAATGTTGTGTTTATTTCTGGTGTACAGAAAAGTGATTCACTTATCTTTTTTATGACTGAGTAGTATTCCATTTTATATATGTACCACATCTTTATCCATTCATCTGTTGATGAAAATTTAGGTTGCTTCCACATCTTGGCTATTTATAGTACTGCTGTGAATATTGGGGTGCATGTACCTTTATTTTTTTGGCAGGGGGAGGTAATTAAGTTTACTTACTTATTTTTGGAGGAGATGCCAGGGATTGAACCCGGAACATCATGCGTGCTAAGCATGTTCTCTACCACTTGAGCTACACCCTCCCCCCACCCCATGTATGTACCTTTTTTAATTAGAGTTTTCTCTGGATATCTGCCCAGGAATGGGATTGGTGAGTCATATGGTAAGTCTATCCTTAGATTTTTAAGGAAACTCCATAGTGTTCTCCCTAGTGGCTGCACCAATTTACATTCCCACCAACAGTGTAGGAGGGTTCTCTTTTCTCCACACCCTCTCCAGCACTTATTATTTGTAGACTTTTGGATGATGGCCATTCTGACTGGTGTGATGTGATTCTTGACCCTTCAAAAAGAATCACCTGATTAGGTCAGGCCCACCCAGGATAATCTTCCTTTTGACTAAATTCAAGTCAACTGATCAGGAACATTACACATGCAAAATCACTTTATCTTGTATATAATGTAATCGTGGGAGTGACACTCCATCCTATTCACAAATTTTGCCTACATTTAAGGGGAGGGAGTTGTACAGGGTGTGTGCACCAGGGTGTGGTAATTTGGGGGGTCATTTTGGAGTTCTGCCTACCACATGGGGTCAAGGGAAGTGAGGGTGGATGACCTTCTCAAGGTGAGGGGCTTAGCAGACTTATCTCTGAGCCTATAGCCTCTTGGTCTCCAGGTTAATCTAATGGGTGACCTCAGCTAATGCAAGATGAGGTCATGAGCAAATTT